TTCAATTTCATCTTATAAAACAATTAGATTATCCTTGTTCACAGACACTAATTTTTAGGTTGTCTGTCTGTTGTGTTTTAAATTGTATTTTAGGTATGTATTACTAATGTATTGTATTTATTTTAACCCTACTTCCCTTTTCCTAAGTTGTAATGACTTGCCTGTAAAAATAAAGGTATAATAATGATAATAATAAAACATTATGACTCAAAATTACATATGTAATAGTTTAGAATAATTTATTATGAAATTGTGAATTTATATCCTGTAGTTATAATTCTGTGGTATGGTATCACATTTTTCAAACTGCAATTTGTAATTTACTTTATATCCTAGTTATGAACATCAGACTTTCTAAGATGAACGCTTTGACTGTTTTATGATGAAAAGCTTTTTTTTTCTCCAGGTGGAATAATGTGCACATGCAGCATTTGACAGGGAGGAAGATGAGAGTTAATTGTTGCGCAATACCGATCTAAATTTTCTCAATATGCAGTAGGCCTATAACATTTCAAAGTCAAAGTCAGCTTTAATGTCAATTCTTCAGATTCACCAGACATACAAGGACTGGAGAGGACGTTTCTCATTCACCAATAGTGAAATGGATAAAGTGCACAGGCACAACAGATAAGATCAGTTCCTAATACTAGAATTTAAACATTCAGTTTCACAATAAAATATAAAATGTACAATAATATAAAATATGCTATACTTATGCTAGTGCAAAAAGGCAGATGGTAATGGCAGCAGAAAAAATTATATTATTACCAATTATGTAAGATATACATTCGTAACAGTAACAGTACAAAATAACAGTAAATAAATATAGTAATAATAGTAGTGCAGGACACAGTTTGTCCAGAGTGATTTTTTTTTTAGGTGGGCTCAGCTTCCTGACAGCTTGGTGGATGAAGCTTTCTGTGAATCTGGTGGAGCGGGCAAGAGCCTGAACAGACAGTCAGTCTATGAAAACACACACATGCACAAAGACTGTCTGTCTGTCTCTCTCCTTCATGCACGCACATGTCCTGCTTTAATCCAGTTTCTGACGAATGGAAAAAGGTTGAATTTGTCCAGAGGAGGTCCGTTGAGGTCCACAAACAGGAGTGAAGACCTGGGGCCTGTTTCAATAAGGAAGTTCAACCAACTCTGAGTTAAAACTTGAACTCAGAGTTGACTTATCCTGAGATTGGAAACTCTGAGTTTTGGGTTTCAGAACAGCTGAAATGAGTTAGTTCAATCAACTCTAAATTGACTGACTCTGAGATAAGCGCGTGCGCCACAACTATAAAAAGCCATTATCAATGGAGCACAGATATTACGAGTCACCATGGCAACAGCGTCAGACAAAAAAAGGTGTGCATATTTCTCACCAGCAGAACTGGATGTGCTTATGCAAGCATATGCAGAATTTGAGCATGTATTTAAAAAAAAAAGCAACAAGGCTGCAGCGGCGAAGGAGAGAGAGTTAGCTTGGGTGAAAATAGCTGCTCGAGTCAATGCGTAAGTTTACATTTTAATTACTTTTATACAGTGTTGGGTGTAATGAATTAAGTTACTTAAGTCATATAAATACTGTAATTAAATTAAAGACTATAAAACAATAGTGGATTTAATATCAAATTTTAAAAGGTATATTTTGATTTGAACTTTCTCCCTCTAGTTACACACTTTGGTCAATTTAAGATTAATTCATGCAATTGAATATTGTTTATTTGAAAGCATTAGAAGTGCAGTTTCTTGTCTCTCCTTGTATTGTTCAAGTGGTTGAGGTTGATTTGGGATTTAGAAAGTAATTAATAAGTAAGTAAAACAAATTAGTAAGTAGACCAATACTTTCTAGAGACAGTAATTAATACTTTAATCTAATTGGACTTGTTGAAGATAAAATTTGTAGTTAGTAATTAAGAAATATTTTAGAGTAACTTACCCAAGTGTTATAATATCAGAGGTGAAACTGGAAGAACAGTATTTTATTAAACCTAATTTAGTTTTCATGGATAGGTGCAATCCTGCAGGCATCAAAAGAACATGGCAGCAGCTGAAAATGAAATATAAAAACATATTTCAAGCAGGTAAGCCTTGAGCACATCATGGGAGTAGAGTAGCTACCTGGCTTTACAAACAGGATCATCCATAAAAGGACATGCCATTTCATTCCCTTTGATGCGCTCTACGTGACTGAAATGTGTGCAATGAATACTGTATGTCCCCAAAGAATCAATGAGGTGTTTAAACACCACTTCCTCTTTAAAAAAGGGGAGGAGACCAAAATAAACTCTGGATTTTCTGAAGAAAACCTGCTCCCGACCAGGTTAGGTTCACAGAGTAAATTGCCATGGTAACTGACTCTGAGTATAAGTTACCTCTCTTTCAGAAACGGGCTTGACTTACTCTGCTTTCTCAGGTTTAACCCACCTCCCTTTCTGAAACAGAAAACCCAGAGTTTCCCTCATTTCAGGGTTAACAAACTCAGAGTTTTCACTTAACCTCCTTTCTGAAACGGAAAAGCACATGGCTAATTTGCATACGCGAACAGGATTGGCTGGCTCCACTTGCAAAAAACAGAGCATATTTGTGAATAAAGGTTTTGAATTTTAATACTGGACATATTGAGCTTAAAAACATTTTAGTGACCATTAGTGACAAAAAAATCATTCATGTCCTGCCCTCACTCTTAGCTTAGCAGGTAGATAACCATCATTTAAGCCTTTTCTTTGGATTTATTGGCTGGCATGGATGGATGAATGAATGGTAAAACTGCAGCAAAGAAATAATGTGCATAAGTCTTTGTGTAAACAGGCACAATTCTCCTAAATAATAAACTCAACACATTCCCTGAATATGCACAGAAACGCATAATGACACAAGCAACATGTTAACATTAGCCGCTAGCTAGCGGCATCGCTATCGGTTAGTTAGCGAGTATGCTAACGGCTAGTTAGCGCGTATGCTAGCGTTTTTTAAACTTCTCTTCTCGTGACCTTTCTTGCAATAAACCTCCAAACACAACATGAAACATAGTACTATATGTACATAAACGAAACACACCCTTCACATCAACTTACATGCTGTACTGGCCAGAAAGAACAGATGTAACTAGGCAGTGGCTCTGTTCCAAAACCTGAAAATAGGAGACCGGAAGTGTTTTGGCTGTGAATTCGAACCGGTCTACCCTTCGGCGGGTTTACCGCTGTAAACTCTGTTGCTTAGCAACTGTGAAAGTTGACACACTAAGCAGGAAAAAAATTAAAACCGAAGTTTTCAAAACTGTTTGTTTATTTATTTTTCATTGTAAAGTGAAGAAAGACTACATTAACAAGAATCCAGAGTGGAATAAAGGTTCCAACCAGGAAATAGAATTTAACATAAAATCACAACAACTTAGGCTTAGACTGCTGGAGGACATAGGGACCCCCATTTCATCATTCTGCTTCACTCTCTCTGTTCTCCTATTCTGCAGAATCTGTTAGTTCAATCTCTAACATTCTGCTCTCTCTCTGCTTTTCCTCAGAGTAGCTTTGCCTCATCTGTTCCTGTTTGGCTGTGACTCCATCCTGGAAAGAAATATCAGCTGTGCTGCTTCCATCAACACCCTTGTTTATAGATGTTGGAGATCGGCCTGTTTTCCAGTGTGGTCCTGTTTCTCTGACCATGACTGAGTGGATGTGCTCTCTTCATCCTCTGGCATGGGAGCTGCCTTGGAGCTCGTCTGCCTGGCTGTGTGTTTCCTGGACGGGGCCTTCTACAGCTGCTTTTTGTATCTCTGCTTCTGTCTCCTTGAACCCCAGTCGGCCTCAGCAGATGGCCGCTCACACTGAGCCTGGTTCTGCTGGAGGTTAGTTTTTCCTGTCCACTGTCGCTACAAGCATGCTTAGTGTGAGGGATTGTATTTGAGTCAATGAGTCAATGCATTCAACTGGTTTTCCTTAGATAGAAAACTTTGTATCAATTTGACTGTATGATCTGGTTGAATTGTAAAGTGCCTTGAGATGACATGTGTTATGAATTTGGCGCTATATAAATAAACTGAATTGAATTGAACAACTGTATAAAGATGTATAGAATATAGAAATACAAACATTTCTCAGAAAACTGGTCTTCATGATGAGTTATGAATATCTGCATCTGTTCTACTGAACAGTTCTCTGTACCCAGGTCTGACCTGATGCGCGTTGGAGCTCCGCTCGCATTTTTCTCTTCATCAGTGAAGTATCCAGCTATAATCCTGGGATTTTTACTACTTGTGGAGTAAGCACGCAGTCATATGACCATACACAAAAATCAATAGCTCCATTAATACAGATTTGGTTTGGTTTCAGTTTGTCATATGAAACAGCATACTGCATGAAGTTGGTACCTGGATTTCTGCAGAGATGTCACTTTAAATGATTCTGAAGTCTCAGCTGTACTCCTTGAGGATCTAGGATTTTGAGAAGGTACTAATGGACAGTTCTATGGGACACCACCAAGCCAGCTGGAATGCATTTCAGATGCATTAACTTATAACCATAAAGCATCCAGAGCTGGTTTAATTGGTCCTGCAGGAACAGTGTGTCTTCCAGCAAGTCAGAGTGGACTTTTTTCGCTAAACAATCCTAAGGACTTACTGTGCAATGCTGACAAACTAAAAGTAATTTCAACCACATTGAGGAAACTCAGCATTTCCCAGTGATGCCTACCTGAAAGGAAATAAAAGCATATTAAATCCAAAAAACAACTCATTGATCACAGTTCATGTAGCGTAGCTCAGCAATGAATGATCTCCTAAATATGAAAGGTTTTCTTGTAATTATGAGATCTCATAATTTTGAGATACTGATCTCGTAATTATGAGATAAGCCGTCTGATTTTTTTCTTTGGTGAATGCAATAAGCTTCCGTATATTTCCTCTTCAGTGGAAGGAAGGAAAATATGGCCTCAATGGTAATTTATCCCTTAAACTCAAATTTTTATCTATAAAAAATTTTCAACTTTCTAAAGAAGTAAATAGAAGACAGTTACCTTTCATCCTTTATTGCATCGATGAAAAAAAAACATGAAACATGACTGGATGATGATGATGAACACAAAGAAAGACCTCAAACTGGAAACAAACGAAACAAAAAAAACTATTTAGACTGTTGATTTAGACTGTTCAGCGCAGTCATAACACCAGCTTCTTTCCAGGGGAACGGATCGGGATGTGGTCAACATGATGAAGAAGCACAAAGTGAAACATTCTAAAATCTTCTCTGATGTGGAGGAAAAGCATCTTAACCAATAAACTAAAATGATTTTCATAAATCTGCTTCTTGGGAAAAATCTACTGTAGAACCGACCATGGAGCGTTTTTTCTTAGTAAACACAAAGTACCAATGAAGTGGAACCAGAAAACATCAGTGATGGACCCGTTTTCTCCTGCCACTGACACGTGTCCACAAACTGCGGGCCGTCTGGGCAAAGGTCCCCCTCTGTGACAGACGCAGACTCCTCAGAGGCTCCATGATGCATGTAAGGACCCCTGGGTCAGGAGGCGGCCCTAGGTGCTCATGGGAAATGTAGTTAATTCTCTTAAGCTGATTGCTGTAGTATTTCCTGAGATCACAGAGTTCCTCTGCTGCTGTTTCAGAAATGAGCGAACCCTGAGAAGGAGAGCTGGACACGGTGAGGACAGGACTGCCTCTGGGAAAACTCCGGCCAGCGGCTCTGATGTTACAATGTTTTCTCCTCGCCCTTAAAGAGCAATCTGAGCTCTGCTTGGAAAAAGATTTCAATTGATTCAGCTTCGGTCCAGGACTCGCATCACTGTTTTGCACTCTAGTAATTTCTACATGAGCAACATGTTGGGACATTAATGGCCTCCTCTCCTCTCCTTCTACCTGATTTAACGGGGTTTCTCCTCCCTCTGGTAATCTGGTTGGTTTCAGGTGTTGTTTCCTTTGTTCCTTTGTTAGTTTCTGTTTTGTTTGTGCGGGACATCTGTTCTTAATGGCCGGGGGATCAAGGCCCACACGGAGCACCTCCTCACAGACTCCAACAGCTGATGTGTTCTGTAACAATAAAATACAATAAAAAATGAACAAGTAAAGGAGCATAGCTGTAGAAAATAAAGCATGCCAGTTTCCTTTAGAGATTTCTATAGCAGTAAGGGAAGTGTTGCCAGTGAATGCATACTGACAGGGTTATATTGTAATGGTTAGTGACAGATGAAGCATGATGCAGTGGGATCAGAAGCCGCAGGGAAATCGCATCTAGGCTTAACTTTAGTCACATAGGATCATAAAGGAATGACTGCTGTGGCTAAAATGATGCAAAAATAATGCTGGATCTGACAGTCGGATGTCAGAACACATGGATCAAAGTAGTTCTTCTATATTAGGTAGATTGTCCCTGGTATTGCTAATTTGACCACCCCCTGAAAATATACAATTTTCAATTCAATTCAGTTCATATATATATATATATATATATATATATATATATATATATATATATATATATATATATATATATATATATATATATATATATAAAACGCTAATTCACAACACATTTCATCTCAAGGCACTTTACAGTTCACCTGATCATCCAATCAGATTGATTCTATCTAAGGAAAATCAGGTGATTGCATTGATTCATTGACTCTTCAGCAATCCCTCACACTAAGCATGCTTGTAGCAACAGTGGAGAGAAAAACTCCCTTTGAACAGGAAGAAACCTCCAGCAGAACCAGGCTCAGTGTGAGCGGCCATCTGCTGAGGCCGACTGGGGTTCAAGGAGACAGAAGCAGTAATAAAAAAGGCAGCTGTAAAAGGCGGCCCCGTCCAGGAAACACACAGCCAGGCAGACGCAGGCAGAAAATATGGCATGGTTTTATGATTCGATGTTGGAGACAATGATCACCTGATGTAACATTTATCAACTTAAACTTCAGGAAACTTGTGACCATGAATCAAGAAGAACCTTAATACCAAACCTTCATACAGTTTAAAACATCACCCAAAACATTAGGGGTTGTCAGCAGAAGCAGAGGTGAACAGAGTAAAAAATGGTGGACTGTACTTTGTAGACTTGTCTTCTGAGCTGGGTGAGGGGGGCTAGGAAAGCTCTGTCTTGACTTTCTTGGCCACATGGGAGTCTCCGGAGCTTTGAACTGATCTCTTTCCCTCTTTGGATTTTCCCTTGCCAGTTTCAGCTTTTACCTGCAAGTCATTAACAACAGTCTTTATCTCTGACAGTCCAAATCTAGGGAGGGAGAACCAATGGAGCACTACAGTCTGGGACATGGGACCATGACAACATTCTTACATTCAATGTTCATACAGAAGCATAAAGAACATGACCCTGATGACCTGAAAGAAGTTAATTAGGAAAATAATTTATGTTAATATCTGGTTTCTCCTCTATTAGATCTTAATCCATTTAATCCAGGGATTCCCAAAGAACAGAGAACGTTCCAGATATTTTTCTTATATAGTCTGTGTTGCAGAACCAATTTATAGTCAAACATGACCCAAACATTCTTCTGTACACATTCAACAAATCATTATTTCTACTAGGAATGGACCAAAAGCAACTCTTTAATTTCTCCTATGATATTTCCGATATATTGTAGCTTTAAATATTGATAAATCATAACACTGACAGGATATGACATCAACATGAATCATCATACTTTTTTATTACTTATTTTGTAGTGTGGAATATTTAAAAAGACCTGATAAGGGGATTTTACTCAGAACAATAATCGACAACACTAGTGATGAAAATAACAGATTAATTTTTAACCTGTGAGTTATATATTGAATCAGAATTCTGCTGAAATAGGAGATGGGACGCTTCCAACTTCCATCTCTGGGAGAGCTTCTCGTAAGTCGTTTCTCAATTCACAAGAACGCGAGTACGGACTCGTGTCCTCCACAAGTATGTTCTTGAGAAGGACCCAGAAAAGTCTGGACTCTGGGAGAACGGGAGCATGCAGAATAAATCCGGGTCAATTGGGACAGAAGCGTACTGATGACGTCACCACATTCAAAGGTCGTCTGGAGCAGTTCTGCTGGCTCCCTCCTGCCAAGACCTACACCATGCACTAGGGTGGTTCACAGCTGAGTGTGAAGAGCACAGGATTACATATAGCTCCTCCAAGTCCTCCATGCGCCTGTATTACCTTCCGACAATGCCTGTGAATCCTACCGATGAGGTGGAGGATGGTCTCCTGAGGAATCTCCTCACTGATCTGCACTTAAGCATCTGCCAACTCAGTCCACTGCTGACACACTCCAGCCACATGAGGTCTAGCTTTGTCCTACATAAGGAGCAAGACCCATAGCCAACCACACCAGCATACGGTCTCACAAGGGGTCTGAGGATCTCAGACCTAATGGAAGTCATGTCACCTCTGGCAACCACATGGAGGGCTGTGCTGCCCTCCAAAGATATTACACCCCACACCATTACTGACTCATTCCCAAACCTGTCATGCAGAAGGATGTTGCAGACAGCAGATTACCCTCCATGGTTTCTCCAGACTCTGTCAAGTGCTATGCCAATCCTAATGTTCTTTGGGAAATGCCCAGCTTCCAACATTGGTGTTGGCCTGTGAGCACAACCCCATCTGTAGACATCGGGCCTCACACCATCCTCATGGAGTCGGTTTCTAAATGTTTGTGCAGACGTATGTACATGTGTTGGCTGCTGGAGGTCATTCTGCAGGGCTCTGGCAGTGCTCCTCCTGTTCCTCCTTGCCCAAAGGCAAAGGTAGCGGTCTGGCTGCTGGGTTGTCGCACTCCTATGCGTCCTCCACGTATCCTGCTGTACTGGCCTGTCTACCGTTAGCACGTCCAGCCTCTAGACACTACACTGACAGACACAGCAAACTTTCACCTTGATCTGCCATCATGGATGAGCTGCACTACCTGAGGCACTTGTGCGGGTTGTAGAGTCTGTCTCATGCTACCATGAATGTGAAAGCACCACCAACATTCAAAAGTGACCAAAACGTAAGCCAGACAGCATAGGTACTGAGAAGTAGTTTGTGGTCCCTACCTGCAGATCCATCCTTTTTTGAATGTGTCTAGCTAATTACTGATCATTTCCACCTGTTGTTTTTCCATTTGCACAACAGCCAATGTCAGCTGGCCTGGTAGCAACCAATGGTGGAAGTAAACACCCAGCAATCATCTCCCATTTCAAGAAATTTAAAAAAAAGTTAATAGAATGAGATCCAAATCGATGATCCACCCACCATGGGTCTCTCAGGTCTGATAATTCAATTGATACCTACATTAAGTTAAACTGTCAAAACAGCCAACATACTCGATATGATATTTTGGCTCTTGAAGTTTTTATGATCTAAAAAAATTTTTTATATTCACTTCCAGGTGGTACAAACAGCAGCTGTAAATTCCTGAATGTCTGGCCCAGTGCGACAGCCCACCTGCATGTTCTGCTACTCTGACAGCAACAGAATATTCAAAGGTTGGATAATCTGGTTCCTAATCACCACTCATCTCATTTACCTGGTCTTTCTGCTTTATATATATGGCTCAGCCCAGCTATTGGGGCCAGATCATTGTTTTCTGTTTGTTTCCTGTTTGTTCTTATTGTGCTTATGTTTCTGTTTGCTTTGAAATGTCCCACTGCCTTTCTCACCTCAAATACTGGGTCCATCTGTCCCGTTTATGACATTCCTAATTATTGAAAATTACCCAAAAACAAAAATGGCCATATGCGTTACATTTAAATACCTGAAAAAAAATTTGTACTGTTTTTCATTCATTAATGTCAAACTGAATGTTTGCATTTTTTGGTGTGTGCAAAAAATGGGATAATAGTATCAGTGTGTCAAAACCTTTGGAGGAATGCATGAACTAAAACTCATAACTGGTTATTACTGGGATCAGATGATATGTTGCAGGATTGGAGATTATCGTTATACAATTAATAAATGTGAATGACTTATTTGCTCTCTTACTAGCAGTCAAGAAGTGCCCAAACTAAGCTATATAATTAATTAAAGACGTTTATGAAACGTTTATGAGATTATCAAATTTCTTTTGCTAGATGGTGAACGAAACGTAATGAGAAGCAGGGTTAACACTACGAGAAGGCATATTTCAAAAGAAAAAAAAAACAATTCTCACCTGTTTATATTTTGTTTTGTTAAATGTGAAGAAACTATTTCTAATGGCAAACTAGACACATAGAAAGTGAAAGAAGAAACTAGTTAGATCTCACATAAAACAGATCAAAGATGGAAGTGGGATTCAAACATTTAAATCAATACAGACTCTAAACTACGCTTCTGACTCCAGTCAAACCAGCGGTTTTTCTGTTGATACATCTCTGTAGAGCCTCAAATCTTTTTTATTGTTGGTCAACAATCCATTAAACTTTGGTGATGATCTAGATCATAATCGGATGCAGGATTTATTTTAAAGGATTCTTTAACATTGTTTGATTGATGGATGAAACAAGCAGTTCTCTTTCATAGCATTAGTTTCGTGTCTCACATTGGGAATGCCTTCAGAGGACCTCATGAGATTATCCTTTTACATTACGCCAGCCATGATTGGCGGGAAAATAAGCCTGTCAGTGTCAGAGAGGGCAGGGTCTATCCCCCTATATCCACCTGAGGATGGCACACCTGGAGGAGAAGAACACCCACATGCGGATGCTGTTCCCGGACTTCAGTTCAGCTTTTAACACCATCATCCCACAGCATCTGATGGGCAAACTGGAACAGCTGGGATTCAATACACCCCTCTGCTATTGGCTGCTAGACTTCCTCACCAACAGACCTCAGTCAGTCTGGGTCAGACAGAACACCTCTGATGTCATCAGTCTAAGCACAGGCTCCCCTCAGGACTGCGTCCTGAGCCCCTGCTGTTCACCCTGATGACACACGACTGATACCGTCTTTCTTGGAGTCTACCTTAACTATCCATAGATGCGCGCGCAAGCTCGGTCACTGGGCACTTGTTGTACGTTGGTCGACACAGAGTAGCAATACTCCCAAGCTACACCCCAGGTGGCCGAAACGCTGTCCCCAACACATGGATAGCTTAGCTGTAACAAGCTAATTTTCATGAAGCCTCACAGCAAATCTCACTGAAAAAAAAATGGAGACTGTTAAATCCTCTGCAAAAGTAGAGGTGAGCCCAAAGGAAGTGGTGGTGAGGAGGAGGAAGCAACTGGCCTAACACCTTCCTGGGGTGGAGGGAGCGAGCTGGGATTGCTCTCCTCCATTGTTCCGATCCTGAATCTGTTCAGAGAGTTCACCAAACACAGTGTGTGGTCAAAAGGATGTTCCAGCCTTCTCAACATGCCAAAAAGTTGAAAGACTGCTCAATGCGGGGATATCCAGAGCTAACCCTGATCATGTGTCACAAGCACTTCTTTTTGTTCAGAAGAAATAAATGCTTCCAGGCAGTCGCATCCAGGTCGAGAACCAAAGGCGCAGTCAAAAATGTTGAAAAACAAAATCCGCTGTCAATTCGCTGTCAGACTTAACAACCAGCCAGCTGATAGTGAAAATCCACCTTTGGTCGAAATGCACAGACTCAGAGTGGGTTTACAGAACTCTCAGGAGGGGACACAGACTGTAGTTCACTGCAGTTCCCCCAAGCTTCAGAGAAAAATAATCAGTCACATGCAGAAGGACAAGTCACTCTCTTCCTGCAGGACGAAATTTCCTCGTTGTTGGAAAAAAGAGAGCGATACAGCTGATTCAACCAGAACACAACAGCAAGGGTTTCATGTTAATTCCTTTTGCCAAAGAAAGCCGGTCAATGGATGCGTGCAATTCTAGACCTCAGAGCGCTGAACAAGCATCTAAGAAAAAAGCTCAGGGGAGGGCCACATGTAGCAAAGTATATAGATGATCTGCACGCATCGTCCTCCCAACAGGAAGCCACACATCACACAGCTACACAGCACTCTATGGATCTGGGCTTCAAAATAAACCTGGAAAAGAGTTCCCCGTTTCCCTCTCAGAGAATATCTTTTATAGGTCTCTCTGGACTCAATCTATGACAAAGTAAGAATTACGGAGGACAGAGTGAAAGCAATGGTCAACTGCTTGTCCATTTTTCAAAGAGGGAACCTGTTATCATTCAGACTCTGCAGAAGGCTGTTGGGACTGATGGCCTGAGCCTTTGTGTTAATCCATCTGGGACGTCTCCACATGAAAGGAATCCAACGATGTGTAGCCTCTTAGAGGTTAAAGCCACATACTCCTCATCACCTGCTGAGACTAACTGCTGCCTGCACAGCAGCACTGCGTCCATGGCGGAACAAACATATACTGACACAGGGTATCCCAATGGGAGTCGTGCAGAACAGAAAGGTTGTCACAACAGATGCCTCTCTGTCAGGCTGGGGGAGTATATGCAAACAGCAAATGGTGAATGGAACCTAGGGACCAAAAATGCAGTCCGAGCACATGAATTACTTGGAGCTAAAGGCTGTTCAGGTAGTGTTAAAGCATTTTCTCCACATTCTGAGAGCTCACCATGTGCTAATCAGAAAAGGCAACACAACAGTGGTGGCTTATATCAACAGGCGGGGGGGTGGGGGGCGGGTTGTCTGAGATCACTGAGGCTCCACACACTGGCTCACAAACCAAGACATTTTCAGTCTTTGAGGGCCTCCGTTGTCCAGGGAGTGTTGAACTGTGGAGCAGTCCCCTCCTGGGGGACTCCCATGTAAACATAGTGGCAAGGATGGTCTGATAGCTGTTTGGTCAGCCATCCATGGACCTTTTCGCTTCTCAAGAGAACAATTACAGGTGCTGGTCATAAAATTAGAATATCATGAAAAAGTAGATTGATTTCAGTAATTCCATTTAAAAAGTGAAACTTGTATATTATATTCATACATTACATACAAACTCATATATTTCAGATGTTTATTTTGTTTAATTTTGATGATTACAAATGACAACAAATGAAAATCTCAAATTCATCATATCAGAAAATTAGAATATTACTGAAGACCAATAAAAACAAAGGATTTATAGAAATGTTGGCCAACTGAAAAGTATGAACATGAAAAGTATGAGCATGTACAGCACTCAGTATTTAGTTGGGCCTCCTTTGGCCTGTATTACTGCAGCAATGCGGCGTGGCATGGAGTCGATCAGTCTGTGGCACTGCTCAGGTGTTATGATAGCCCAGGTTGCTCTAATAGTGGCTTTTAGCTCTTCTGAATTGTTGGGTCTGGTGTATTGCATCTTCTTCTTCACAATACCCCATAGATTTTCTATGGGGTTAAGGTCAGGAGAGTTTGCTGGCCAATTAAGAACAGGGATACCATGGTCCTTCAACCAGGTACTGGTAGCTTTGGCACTGTGTGCAGGTGCCAAGTCCTGTTGGAAAATGAAATCTGCATCTCCAAAAAGTTGGTCAGCTGCAGGAAGCATGAAGTGCTCTAAAACTTCCTGGTATGTGGCTGCGTTGACCCTGGACCTCAGAAAACGCAATGGACCAACACTAGCAGATGACATGGCACCCCAAACCATCACTGACTGTGGAAACTTTACACTGGACTTCAAGCAACGTGGATGAAGTGCCTCTCTTCTTTTCCTCCAGACTCTGGTACCTTGATTTCCAAAGGAAATACAAAATTTACTTTCATCAGAGAACATGACTTTGGACCACTCACCAGCAGTCCAGTCCTGTTTCTCTTTAGCCCAGGCAAGACGCTTCTGACGCTGTCTGTGGTTCAAGAGTGGCTTGACACAAGGAATGCGACAGCAGAAACCCATGTCTTTCATACGTCTGTGTGTGGTGGTTCTTGAAGCACTCACTCCAGCTGCAGTCCACTCTTTGTGAATCTCCCCCACATTTTTGAATGGGTTTTGTTTCACAATCCTCTCCAGGGTGCGGTTATCTCTCTTGCTTGTACACTTTTTTCGACCACATCTTTTCCTTCCCTTCGCCTCTCTATTAATGTGCTTGGACACTGAGCTCTGTGAACAGCCAGCCTCTTTAGCGATGACCTTTTGTGTCTTGCCCTCCTTGTGCAAGGTGTCGATGGTCGTCTTTTGGACAACTGTCAAGTCAGCAGTCTTCCCCATGATTGTGTAGCCTATAGAACTAGACTGAAAGACCATTTAAAGGCTTTTGCAGGTGGTTTGAGTTAATTAGCTGATTAGAGTGTGGCACCAGGGGCCATCAATTTTGAACCTTTTCACAATATTCTAATTTTCTGATATGATGAATTTGAGATTTTCATTTGTTGTCATTTGTAATCATCAAAATTAAACAAAATAAACATCTGAAATATATGAGTTTGTATGTAATGTATGAATATAATATACAAGTTTCACTTTTTAAATGGAATTACTGAAATCAATCTACTTTTTCATGATATTCTAATTTTATGACCAGCACCTGTAGTGTCCCCTGTTCTTCTCCCTGGATGATCAGAATCAATCATTCTGCTTTTTGCTCCCCCCCAATACCTCTCCATTCACCTGCACTAGCCAGGGTACGAGCAGAGGGTCTGACAATGATCCTTGTTGAACCCAATCGGCCAGTGAAACATTGGTTAGCAGAGATAACACAGCTCCTCTGGCAGGAGCCGCGGAAGCTCTCAGGAACAAGGACAGATTTTTCATCCCCACCCTGAAAGACTGGCTCTATGAGCTTATGGGCTCCTTGCTCTAAAGTTGCGAGGAAGGGGTGATCGTTTTTTGAACAACTGTCAGTGCAGTGTCAGCCCTATATATAGGGGGAGGGACCCTGCCCTCCCTGACACAAACAGGCTTATTTTCCAGCCAATCCTGGTTGGCGTAAGGTAAAAGGACCTTCTGATGACGTCACCCTGAGGGCGTTTCCAATGTGAGACACTCACTCATGCTACTCAGAGAACAGGGGTTATGAAAGTAACCTAAAGATCCCCCCTAAACCAGCAGTGACTACTGACAGCTTCAGCATTGGACTCCAAAAGCCCCGATCCAGACGTACGACTTTTAGCTATAGGTGTAGCTAAAACACATCAATAATATGAGACTAAATCTGCTTGGTCTGTTTACTGTTTACTCAGAGGTCTGCGCTCTCTGAGTTATATAGAATTTTTTACATATTTTGTGGGTTTTTAAAAATAACACAATAAAATATCAGTACAGGGATAATATTAATGTCTTATCTGCAGCAGATAATATTTTCATAGGCTTCATTGATTTCCATCTAATGTCTAGAAAAAGGATTTCACTTTTTAACAGAAATCGATTTTAGGAACAAGACTCGCCATATTCTTTATTCGTTTCTACTGAACTAAACATGAAGTTATGCCACCAGCTGCAAATCTGGTGGCTGTGGAGACCCCACAAAATATTCAGCATTAAGACCTGAGGAGACAGTGAGAGTATTTTAAATACTTTATACTTGAGAGGTAAGCAGCTGACCTGAAAGACCTTGTTCTGAAACTCCTATAATGCTAAATTCGATCCTGTTAGAAGTTAGAAGACTCACCACAGAGGGTCGGTCTCCTGCTGTCTTCATGTTCATGCTGACTGAGTGAGTCTCCTTCTTCAGCAGAGGAGCTTTGCGACCGAGCTTCACATAGAAGTAAGTGGTGTATGGAGTGAAGCTGTAATCCTCTCTAAATTCAACACAGAAACCAAACAAAGCTGAACGTTTAGTTATAGTCAGAAGCATTTTTTCCTACTGGACAGCTGAATGATATAAGGGCACATTAAGGTAGAAAACAAGAAATATAAGCCGCTCATGTATGGTTCAAAGAGGGGAAAAAAGAGTTCAACTGGTACAATTTTGGTTGAACTGGTTTAAGACTAAGACAATTTTAGCATTTCAGTGATTCCCATAAACTAAACCAAAACATTTCCAGTTGAATTCAGCTCAATTCAATTTATTTATATGGCACCAAGCGCAACACATCAGCTCAAGGCTCTTTAAAGGACAATACTATCAGACTGGTAAAAAGTTTCTGTCAAGGAAAACCAGTTCATTGCATCCAGTCATTGACTTGCAAGACACGCTCCTCCTGGATGAGCGTGTGGTTACGGTTTCAGTTTGCATTTTGTTATTGACTCATCAGCAATTCCTAACTCCAAACATGCATATAGTGACACTGGAGAGAAAAACTAAATTAAGAACCAGGGTCAGTGAAAGAGAGAGCATCCAGATGGTCACAGTTAACTGCTAGCTCTAAAGCCAGACTGAAACTCTTCAAAAAGTTCATTATGGTGGAAGTGATCGCACACTTGCTTGGCAACTACTTTCTCAAGAATTTTAGATAAGAAAGGAAGATTGGATAGAAGTCTATAATAAATAATTACAGACACGGTAAAAGGCTTTCATACATATCCCTGTAACAGAGATAGATTAATCACATCTAAAACGGAGAAGGAGATCAAAGGGAATACCTCCTTAAATAACCTGGTTGGAACTGGATCTAACATCCAAGTTGAAGGCTTAGATGAAGACAATAGTTTTGCTAACTCTGAAAGTTCAACTGGATCAAAGCAGTCTAAACCCGGTTCAGATTCCATGGCTACCTCAGATACTGCCTCCCCTTCTAGAGATAAACCAATCATAGTTAAAGGGGTGCTAATGATTTTATTTTTAATACAGTTAGTTCAACAGAGCTATGGCTCTGGGTGAGTTTGGCAACTGGATTAAAGAGAAATCTAGGATTATTCTTATTCTCCTCTATTAATGAGGAGAAATATTCTATAAAGGGTTATCCTATACAGCAGTAAACTGTTTTTCAAGACTAGGTAGGACTCCAGTAGGCATGTGGGGCGCCATTTTCTCTCCAGTTTTCTAGCATTTTGCTTGTATTAAACATTTTTGCTCTGTATTAAACATAATCTTTCTGACTATAACCAAAAGGGAGGTTTCCTCTCCACTGTCGCTACAAGCATGCTTGGTGTTTACCTTTGAGTCAATGAGTGGTCAATGAGTGAAAATATGGATGGGAGCATCCCCATTTAAAAACACGACAGAGTATTAGGGCTGGGTTAGAGATTTTTTATTACCTTCAATTAACTACTATATACTTTCACTGCGGGTGAAAGTGCAACTATTATTTATAAAAGGGACTGCAGTATCCCAAAAAGTGGAATATCTGGGTGTCCCTCACATCTGAGAGGAACGGCTTCATCAGTTTCCAAATGCAGTAAGGTACAGACAGCAGCATCAAGAAACTCAAATCCATTGAATCAATTGTTAAGTGCTAATGTGATTAACTCTGCTATTTTACTCTTACCAATATCGTCAAATGTTAGCAAATGGCAACGTCAACATAAAATAGAAAAAATTACATTTGATTATGTTTACTTGGTCTATTTATGTCAAAAAACCCATCCCAAATAGTTTTTTTTTTATCAACTGGCATTATTATGCGTATCATAGAGTGTTAACATTTGACATTTTTTGTTGCTTCACTCCCTGCCAACATACAAAAATGTACTAATGAGACTTATTTAATTTAATTTTACTGAACCTAAGCTAAACACGGGAAAATCACTGCTAAGCTGGACATACACTGTACGATTTTTTGCCCAGTTAGGGCTGATTCTCCAGTCGGGTGAGATTTTTTTCTATCCAGTCGAGTTTCCGCCTCATGGTTCGTCCTGCGTCGTGTACAGGTGGTAACCAGTGTTCGGCACGTTACTTTGAAAAAGTAATTAGTTATAGTTACTAGTTACTTCTCCCAAAAAGTAACTGAGTTTCAACTGAGTTACTCCACAAGAAAAGTAAGGACCAGCGCCATCTCTCAGCCTGACGTGTGGTTTTGTTGGACTTGCAGTGTGAGCAGGTGGATCGTATCAGAGTGTCGGGTCGCACAGTGTGAGAACAAACATCATGAGCTGTGAACTTTAAAGCCTGCGGTTTCATGGTACAGTGTGAGCTGTAGCTGAGTGCAACGATTGAGAATATCACACAGTGTACGCCCGGGTTAAGCTTTGAGCCAAATATCCACCTAAGCTGGTTCTGTTCTAACAATAATTTTTAAAACTAAATAAATAACCTAGCAAATCAAAAAGATGAGGAATGAAACAGTGCATATGAAGGAGTTACCGGAGGTATTCCTGCAGAAGCAGGGAGACGATTACAGCTTCAGCCTGCAGCCGAGGCAGATTGGTGGTCTGGATCATCTTCCTCAGCTTGGCTGGACCCCGTCCCATCCACGTCTCCACCAGTTTCAGGGGAGTCACTTTTTCATCCATGGACCCTGCCTGCTCAATGATTTGCACTACTTGTTTTGCGTGGCAAGTTATGTCCATGCTGGCGTAGCCTGAGGGGTAGAACAGAGTTAATGATCAGATTTTAATCTTAAACCCAAAGGGTTCTCAGACCAAATTCTGCCTAAAATAACTTATGTGAATATGTGAAAGCACGCACAGCTCCCATACTATACATTGGAAATACAATTGTTTGTATTTGTATGACAGAAAGGCATTGAGGAATATTGCTCAGGTGGAACCACTATTTTAAAAGTCACAATGTCTGATTTATAGGTGATTAAACAAAGAAAAAAGAAAAAACTTTAGGCAAGGCTAAATATTTTGTAATTTTTTCTTTGTTTAAACACTGCAAAACATCATGAAACCCCATTTGAAACTCTGGATAAATCCTCAGACTTGATGGATCCACATCTTGACTCTAACTCAACCAAATTTGGACTGAACAAGCTGAAGCAAGGTTTTAGTGGGCAGTGTGGAAATGGGATTTTAAAACAATGCCAAAGGTGCAAAAATGGATTCTTCCACCGAGTATCTGTGGAAAAATTATTTTGAAACATGCTTTAGAAATTTGAAGGCCCCATCTGAAACGTGTGTGGATGAAACACCATGTGACTGTGTTTTGGCCATTTCTATAAATAGATTAATATGTGCATCTGTACGAGGGCCCACCAGGCTTAAAGGGTTAAACAATCACCTCATGCATAAAGCTGCACTGACCTTTAGAAGAGCGGCATGTATCACACATTTGGTTACATCCTTCATCGTCCCACACCTCATCAAAGTGAACCGCCATGAGAGAGCGCCGACACCTGCGCAGAGTAAACAGTCAGATGCTTTCAGGACCAACTCTTGTGTAAACCAGTCTAATCATGCTGGGGTTACCTGTCCACATTCTGGCAATAAGCCACCATTTGCAGCAACTTCTTGTGGCCCACATTCTCCATGACCACCATGGTGCTGATCCTAAAGATATCAGCAAAGCCAAAATACACGATGCAGTCCGCTGGATGATCGTCTCGACCTGAGAACACAATAAGGAATCATGTGCGTTTGTAAGAAATGACTGGAACTGAAACCGCTGTTTATCAGGAACATGCGTGTACCTGCGCGCCCGCTCTCTTGGTAGTAGTTCTCGATGGACTTGCTGATGGTATGGTGAATGACAAACCTGACATCTGGTTTGTCGATGCCCATGCCGAACGCCACAGTGGCTACCACTACCTGAATGCAGACACAGGGATGATTAGCTGGGCAGGAAATGGAAGGGCCTGATGACATGCAGCAAAGGTTCCAAACCCAGACGGCTTCACAGAGGACTGAACTTTAGGTACCGTTTGACATACACGAGCAAACATTCAGTCATATCATTGATGAAAATGAGCTCCGGTAAAAATATCAGGATTTGCAGATATCCAAATTCATATCAAATCTGACCGTAGAGAGAAAATATGGATGGGAGCATCCCCATTTAAAAACACCACAGAGTATTAGGGCTAGGTTAGAGACTTTTTTATTTTTCCTTTTTGAGAATAAAGAAAAATTTAAACTTTTAGTTTTAGAGCATTTTAATTAGAGGATGCAGTTTAAGGGTCTATCAAACAGTGCAGATTTTTCCAGAAAAAGGTTTCAGGACGTAGATCTGCTGTAGCCCCGCCACTTATGGCTGCTTTCCTTAGAAACTAGAGAGTCACACCTTGTTTATTAATCTTTTTACAACGCTTTCCAGTGATGACATTTCTGTTCCTAAATAGTCAGCTTTAAAACTTTCATACTTTGCATAAAATTTGCTTTAAAGACTGCTGCAGACAGAGTCGATGAAAATTTAGAATAAAATACAATAGAAATCACAACTTTGTTTTTACAAGATTCCCTTTTAGGCACTGAAAGACCAGCAGGCACAATTAGCACATTTGGCTAATTGTGCTAAAATAAGAATGCTGCCTGACACAATTACCCTCATTGGAACAAATGTGCTTTGAATCATTTGGGCCTAATTTGCTGCACTTAGAATAAAGATGCTGATAAATAAGAGGGGGGCGGACATCCTGTCTACTTTTAAGGCTAGGCTTAAAACTTGCTGATAAGTGGCTCAGGTTATCCTGAGCTATCTCTATAGTTATGCTCCTATAGGCTTAGACTGCTGGAGGACAAAGGGACCCCTTTTTCATCATTCTGCTTCATTCTATCTCTATTCTCCCACTCTGCAGAATCTATTAGTTCAATCTCTAACGTTCTGCTCTCTCTGCTTTTTCTCATAGCAGCTTCATCTGGTCTGTTCCTGTTTGGCTGTGACTCCATCCTGGAGAGAAATATCAGCTGTGCTGCTGCCATCAACACCTTTGTTTCTAGATGTTGGAGCTTGGCCTGTTTTCCAGTGTAGTCCTGTTTCTCTGACTGTGACTAACTGGATGTGCTCTCTTCAGCCTCTGACATGGGAGCTGGCTCGGAGCTCGTCTGCCTGGCTGTGGGTTTCCTGGACGGGGCCGCCTGTGGAGCTGGTTGACAGTTGCCTTTTGTATCTATGCTTCTTTTTCTATGTCTGCTTCTGTCTCCTTGAACCCCAGTCGGCCTCAGCAGATGGCCGCTCACACCGAGCCTGGTTCTGCTGAAGGTTTCTTCCTGTTAAAACTGAGTTTTTCCTCTCCACTGTCGCTACAAGCATGCTTAGTGTGAGGGATTGCTGAAGAGTCAATGAGTCGATGCAATCAGCTGGTTTTCCTTAGATAGAAAACTTTGAATCAATCTGACTGGATGATCTGGTGAACTGGAAAGTGCCTTGTCACATGTGTCACAGTTAATGAGAATCCCGTTGTTGGATAACACCACTTCTCAATCACAACATTCTGAGGAAAGAGATACTGATCAGATCAAGGAAGAGCAGGTCTTCTTGTAGATCAGGAAGAGGCAATTAGCAACAGAGGAGGAGAAACTTGAGTTACTAGGAGAAATCCTGTAGGTGAAATAACTTCTCTGATTAGTTCCCTTTATGTATCAGATAATGAAGTAGAAGAAAGACAAGATGACGAGGAAGAATATCTCACTGTCAGACATTAATAGTATTAGGAATGGTTTGATGAGCATGGGGGTTAGGATTACCACATTGGGAGAGGATTTCAGGGCGTCTGAAGACAGTGCTTTGAAAAAGGGAGCAAAACATCAGGACATGTATAGAAATGCTGAGGCCCTGAAGCAATGCATGAACACAGCCTTTAAGGAAATTAAAGCTAAGGTAGTAGAGCAGGGTGTTCAATGATTTCCAGGCCAAGGACCCCAAACTGATGGTGAGATGGAGCAGGACCCCCTAATTATAGATATTGTATGAAATAGTGTTATATCAAACTAGTCCTATAGTTACTCTATTACAGATGGAGTAATGTAACTAAAGTAATCCCTCCCTGGGATTATTAAAGGAATAGTACACCCAAAACATGATCAGCCTTCATTTTCTACTCACCCCCATGCTGAACAACACTCTGGAGTACTTTTTTGATATCTCAAATGCATCTGGAGATCTGGGAGGCTTCTTGCTGTCTGCTGACATTCAAATAATGGAGGTCTAAGGCGCCAGAGGCAGAAAGGTCCATAAAAGTCCACAAAAAACGTGTCAATATTCCTCCATACTGCTCGTCCAATGTATTCCAAGTGTCCTGAGTGGGTAGCATCCAGAATTTATTCGAAATGAAGTCATTTAGAATGTTTTTAGAGCATAAACAGTAGTGTATAGGATTTCCTGAAAGCGCGCACATGCACGCTCACGACGCTGCGGAAGCCGGCAGACCAAACCAGATGAAAGTGCGCATTCAGCTCGGCAAAGAACTCATGCTCTTCCTCAACACTGAAGTCCTCAGAAATTTTTCTTTCGTTGTTTCTTTCTTTGCACAGGTAAACAGCACATTTCTTCTTCTACGCTTGCATTATCGGCAGAGCAGACGCTGAATGCGCACTTTCTTCCGGTTTGGTCTGCCGGCTTCAGTAGCCTCGTGAGCCTGCATGTGCGCGCTTTCAGGAAATCCTATACACTACTGTTTATGCTCTAAAAACATTCTAAATGACTTTGTTTCGAGTAAATTCTGGACGCTACCCACTCAGGACACTTGGATTACATTGGACGAGCAGTATGGAGGAATATTGACACGTTTTTTGTGGACTTTTATGGACCTTTCTGTCTCGGTCACCATAGACCTCCATTATTTGAATGTCAGCAGACAGCAAGAAGCCTCCCAGATCTCCAGATGCATTTGAGATATCAAAAAAGTACTCCAGAGTTTTGTTCAGCATGGGGGTGAGTAGAAAATGAAGGCTAATCATGTTTTGGGTGTACTATTCCTTTAAAGTATTTCTGATTCCTGGTTGATGGGACAGGTGTTGTGAATGAAACGGTGCCCAGCTTAAAGAGCTCCTGTGTGTCACTGAATGTGTGCATTGATGACTGAAAGACATCTTCTGCCTCCATTTATCTGTTAACTACAGTCTGTTGGATTCATGTTAATGTGAATTTAAAGACATTTCAATTAATGGAAAAATTTGCAGGTGGGAATAAAAAAAAAAAGTCTAATCAACCAAAACTTTCGTGACCCCCATGCAGTACCTCTGTGGACCCTCTAGGGGTCACAGACCCCCTGTTGAAGACCTCTGTAGTAGATTGTTTGCTCCGATGTGATGAGATGTGGAAGGCTGAGAGAGTTTAAAGCACTAGACTATCAAATACTATTCATTCCTTTGATAGTGTCAGATCAAGTCTCCCCGTGCCGTCTGATCATCTCTCTTCTACCATGAAATACACTTTCCCTTAAACATCCTCTCTACTTTGAGCCCTACCTGTACAAAGAGTACCACAAGGAAGCATTGGACCTTCATGCCCATAAAGGACGGATCAATCTATCACCTACATCCCTCCAGGAACAGTTCCAGTCATGCCATCAACAAACTGGGATAGTAGACCTCCCTGCATTGACCTCCAACCTGACAGTTCCTTCATCAAGCAGAACATCTGGAGTTATTTCCGAGCCACCTGTGCACATGGAGTTCCCGACATTTGAGGGGGCAGAAGAGGTTTCTTATAAATGTCATCGACCAGTGTGAGACATTTCTAAAAGTAAGGCCCCATCTGATCCTGAATTATTGGGAACTTTAACAAATAAGGCTCTGCTCTGTACTGGTGGAGAGTGGCTAAAAACAAGGTTTACAACTGGCTTGAATTTAAAAATGTTTTCTGCTGCCTTTCTAACTCCAGACGATCTGTCAGAGGTGGAAGAGAAGTTAAGCAACATGATCCAGTTGCCAGAGCAATGTCTTAGAGCAGGGGTGTCAAACTCATTTTCACTGAGAACCACATCAGCGTAATTGCTGTCTTTAAAGGGCCAGATGTAACTTATAAATGTAACTAAATGTAATTGAATGTAATGTAAAATAAATGTAACGACTCCTTAATGTTAAATAACTCATTATTTATTATAACTTATTCAAGTGACAATTACAGTTGCATAGAAAACATATGCTTGCTTGTTGCTCTAACACAGTGGTTCTCAACCGGTGGGGCGCGCCCCCCCGGGGGGGCCCCGACACTCTCCCGGGGGGGCGCGAGTAGGCTACAGGATGGGAGTGGAAAAAAACTGGAAAAAAAAAATTTACACTTTTTTTTTATCTTTTTTTTTTTATCTTTTTTTTTTAACTTTTTATTTCATAAAAAGTTAAAGTTTTGTATATACATAACTCCTGAATAAAAATTAAAATGTGTTTGGACTGATTAAAAAAAAAAAGTTTTGAACAAATTTGATTGTTTTGTCGATAGTGAGCGCAAATGCGGTGATAAGCGGGTGGTTGATCATGGCGCCGAGACAGGGCGCCGTAGCAAGAGCTCTCCTGTGTGCTGGCTGTTTTATGTTTGTTTTTGTCTTTGATGTATTTACCACTTTAAATTATGGCCGTGAGACACTTCTGAGGATCCGTGAGGAAGTTTGTGGTCTGTCTTTTGCCAATACTGGACTGAGGTGTGCTGATTTCGATGCGTGCCCCACTCGAGGTAAACAAGGCCAGGAGTCGGGCCGCGGAAGTCGGGAGCAGAGCGAAAGGACTGGGCGGAGGTATCGCCACATACGCCGTACAGCTGAGCCCCTGAGTGGGGACGCTACAGGCTTCCAGCGGCGTGCTGGATTCTTCTTTCCAGCCGCCGGGCTTCTCTGTCCATCGCTCGGACAGGGTGAAGGAGCGTACCGGAAAAT